AGATGTATTAGAAATGAGGGGTGAGGAAGTGGAGATGCTGCAGTTTGGCGTCTGGGTTCGGGGCAGGAAGAGCCAGGATGCTGGAGGCTCCCTTCCGTGGGTGGGGCAAGCTCTCCTCCTCCGAAAGGTTCTTGGTTTACAATTAGTGGCCTTAGTGCTGGGCTTTGAGAAGAGACGTAGTGAGCCGCCCAAAGTCACCCAGTCAGTGGGCAGAGCTGGGGCTGGAACGCAGGGGCTTGACCGTACCAGACGTCCACCCACTTCTTTCCGGGGCTTCGCGGCCAGGACTTGCGCTCAGTTCGGGGCTCAGAGCTGGGGTTGCCTCCCGGCGGCCTCAGGAGGCCACGCCCTAGCCGGGAGTGGGCGTGGCTCCGAGGCTACCCCCCCCCATGGGCGGGGTTTCCTGCAGGCTGGACTGCAGACTCTGGGCCCTGACTGCGACCTTGCTAGGGTGCACTTCACCCTGGCGCACTGTGTCCAGGGAGCAGCGAGGTCCCAATCCTGCACGTCTCCCTTCCTCCTTCAGCTTCTATTTCTGTCTCCTCCGGTCCTTCACATATCAGCGTCATTATCAAGTCCCGCACCTTGAGAGCTGAAGGCGACCCTATATGTCCTAGGTCTTCAACGTGTTTATTAAATTGGACTGCATTCCTATGTGATCCAGTCAGCTCACTTCCCTCTGTAGCTGCCCCCTCTCCTCCTTGCGGAGACCCCTTCCCTGCCTCCCGCACGACCAGTACCTTGTCCGTTCATATTAGACCCTCATAAATTCTCCACACCACTGTCCCCTTTCCATCCTTCTGGATCAGCCAGTGCTCCATTACCGCTCATCAGAATTATTGTAAAGCTTTTATTTTCTCCCCTACCAGCACCACTCCTGCTTCCAGCCAATTTCACACATTTTTCCGGCTCAAAAAACTTCAGATACTGCCGATTGCCTGCTGCAGGGACAACAAACTCTTCAGCCTGACCTGAGGACCAAGCTTTGACTGAAGATTCTCTCCCACCTTTCTCTCACATCTACGAATCGCGCCCCCCCCAAGATGTTTCCGCCTTGAGCCTTTGCTTCTTCCACACCCCTCACCCATCTTCACACCCCTGTCACCCCCACAACACGCAGCTCAAACACGACTGCCCTGACAGAGCCTCCCAGTCTCCTCCACCTGACCCCAGCCAATGTGGAGACGGCAGCTTCCTGGGACCCTCCTCCGCATCTATCTGGCATCGATCTTAGGCCACTTGCCTTGACGCATTATCATTTACACTGGTGTAGAGATGGCCTGGAGGGAGACCTGACTCCCCGAGGGGCCGAGGGGCTGGTTACAGGATGTTTCCTCTGAAGCGCTTGGCCCCCAGGGAGAAATGCCTTTTGAGTGTGAGAGTTGCTACAAGGCAGGGTCTGAAATGGGCTCATCTTTGCATCCTTGCCCCCAGCACTGGCATGGCAGGTGCAGGCCAAGTGAGCAACAGAGAGTCCCTGCTTGAAGGATCCAGAGAAAGGGATTAAGGTATCCAAGTGAAGCCTCATGGAACAATGGGATTGGTGGATTAAAGCAGAGAGGGATTTGGACAGGGAGGGTGATGATGAAGATGTTCTGAGAGGGAGAAGGAAAGAACTTCGGGGGGGGGGGAGACTAGCAGAGAGGCTGGAACTTGGCCTGCAGGAAGGACAGTGTCCCATCTGTTGGCTTGGTGCTGCAGAGCAAATGTCAGGCAGAAAAGTGGGGAGAACAGGGTTGGCCAGATGCTTGAGCAGAAATCTGAGACCCAATCTCCTCTGCTGTGTCCCAGAGGTCACGGATGCTGGATGGGACCTCTCGCCCCTTCCCATCCACAGGGGAGTGGTCAGGGGAAAACACTTGCCAGACCTGGTACAATGCCATGTGTGGGAGGAGCTGGAGCAGGAGGGGACACTGAGGACCTCTTTCCAGGCACCATCTCATATTTTATGGTTGTCAAGTTCCAGGGGAGATGTTGGGAAGGTGAGAATCTCAGCAAAGCACTTGGCTTATTCCCAGAGGAGTGCAGAGCCACCATGACAATTGCACAGATCCTAGGAGTTTAGGTGGCAGGGAGTGGGAATGTGAGTGGCCTTTGGAGGTGGATCCTGGGGACTGCTCCAGAAGAGGGGTACAGAGGGAGGAAGTCATGGGTGACTCTGAGGAGCAAACCTACCTGGTCAGGCTTGATTTTGGGATCCAGGGCCCATCCCATGTCCGCTGTCCTTGAGCAGGAGTGTTAGCCAAGTGAGCAGGACAGGCTGAAACCAGCCTCCCTGTGGGCCCTAGCCAGCCTCAACGTCTGGGAAGAGGGTTGGCTTTCTGTCATTTACACAGAGGCTCAGTGTGAGCTAGTGGGTCCTGTCTCTTCTATCTCAGCCCCTCCCTCCCCTCATCCTTGGCAGTAGACCTTCCTCCTCTGAGTCCTGTTCCACAAGGCCTCCACTTCAGCTTGAGTCAGTTTCCTCTCCCAGTCCCATTCAGTGAAGACTTGTGAGCTCTGAGAATAGGCTTTGCTGGTGGCCATTGTCACCTCTGCAGGGGGCAGGTTCAGACTCAGTATCCCCTTACCTCTGCAAATGCAGCTTCCTTCCTGCTAGAGTGGGAGGCAGTTTGGAGATGGGAGGGTGTGGAGAGAAATGACGCTTTCCTGTGTCCTTCTCATCACTTGCTTACAACCTGTGACTTTCTCCCATCATGACTGCCAACCTGGGGCAGCAGGTTGGCCAGAAAATCTGAGGGTCATTAGTTCAGGAGGAAGTTATTATGAGTTTAGTTTCCAACAAGTGTAGGTATCTAGCAGCAGAAGGACACACACACTTGGCATTGTTCCATTAATGGAGACATGAGAATGTGGGCCATGACTCCCTGCCAGCGGGATGTGTGTGTGTGTGTGTGTGTGTGTGTGTGTGTGT